GCGATGGACGAGAGCTCGAGGACGACCTTGAAGCGGCTAGCTGATAGTCAAGGGCCGCGAGGCGTGGAGCAGACCATGGACGCCAACCTGCTGGGGGAGGTCGAGGACCTCGTGAAGGATCTGGGCTTCTTCGGCGTGCACGTGTCGGAGCTGTTCGGGCTGGGCAAGTTCACCAGCAGGGCGGAGTCGTTTGGCCTCAACCCGGGGCACGCGTTCGACCTGCGCCTGAAGGACGAGAACGGAGTGCAGTGGGATCTGTCGGATCCCGACCGACAGGTGCTGTGCGAGAAGATCATCGACCATGAGAGGCCGCACGTCCAGATTGGGTCGCCGATGTGCAGAGCTTTCAGCGCCATCATGAACCTGAACAAGGACCGCGACCCAGAGGAGTACGAGCGGAAGGTCATCGAGGGCATCAGGCACCTTCGATTCTGCGTGAGGCAGTACAAGAAGCAAGTGCGAGAAGGACGCTACTTCCTGCACGAACATCCTGATCAAGCTTGGAGTTGGAAGCTAGACTTCATGGTCGAGCTGATGGAGATGGAGGGTGTCTCACGCGTGACGGGACACCAATGCTGCTTCGGCCAGCAGACGGTCGACTACGATGGCGAGGTGGGGCTGGTCCTCAAGCCCACCGGCTGGCTGAGCATTTCACCCTGTATTTTGGCTGAAGTATCCCGTAGGTGCGAGAACGAGAGTCTGCCCAGGAGCCAGTTGCATGCTCATGTACCGCTGGTTGGCAGTGCGAGGACGCGACCGGCGCAGAACTACCCGCCTGCCCCAGTGGCGGCAATACTCAGGGGTCTGACGGCCCAGCCGAGGGTCAACGGTGACCTGAGCGCGTTCACCGTGGGCGTCACCTGCGAGGAGGACGCCGTGAATTGGGACATGGAGGAGTACGAGGAGCTCCGTGACAATATCTCGGGCCAGCTGCTGGACGCGAAGATGGCGCGGGCCGGCAGGGAGGAGGAGATCAAGTACATGGACGACATGGAGGTGCTCCAGGAGGTCCCGGAGTCTCTCTGTTGGGAGGAGACCAGGGCGAAGCCCATCCCAGTCAAGTGGGTAGACGTCAACAAGGGCGATACGGAGCGCCCGGAGATACGGTGCAGGCCGGTTGCAAAGGAGCTGAAGAGCGCGCAGCAGAGGGCTGGGATCTTCCGGGATGATGTGTTCTCGGCGACCCCGCCGCAGGAGGGTGTCAAGATGCTGTTCAGCAAGATGATGAGCCGAAAGCGGGGCGACTGCCGGAGGCGCAAGTTGATGTTCATCGATATCAGTAGGGCGCACTTCCACAGTCCCGCTCGGCGACGAGTGTTTGTTCAGCTACCTCCTGAACGGCACCGAGAAGGATATTGCGCGCTGCTGCTCAAGAGCATGTACGGTACGAGGGACGCAGCGGCCAACTTCGCTGACGAGGTGATGGAGGTGCTGCGAAAGATGGGTTTCAAAATCGGCGTATTCTGCCCGTGCCTGCGCAGGCACGACGAGAGGAACGCATTGTTGTTCTACCACGGGGACGACTTCGTGAGCGAGGGCGATGATGACGCTCTGGAGTGGTTCAAGACCGAGCTATCCAAGCGATTGCTTGTGAAGGTTCGAGGAGTTCTTGGTTGGGATGACGGCGACCTGCGGGAGATCACGCTGCTCAACAGGATCGTCAGGCTAAACAAGACCGAGGCCGGCGTTCCGTGTTTGGAGTGGGAAGCTGACGCCCGTCACGTCGAGATCGTCACGAGCCCGCTGAAGCTCGGACTCGACAAGGGCAGCAAGGCGGTGACATCGCCAGGCATCAAGAGGACGGCGGAGGAGCTGCTTGAATCTCCTTCGCTTGGTACTGCAGAGGCGGCGCTATACAGGAGCGTCTGCATGCGCATCAACTACCTCGCGATGGACAGGATCGACCTGCTCTACGCGGCGAAGGAAGCGGCCAGGTGGATGAACAAGCCGACCGAGGTGGCCATGGAGATGGTGAAGAGGATCGGACGCTACTTGCTACGCCGGCCGAGAATAGTACAGCGGTTCATCCAGCAGGACGAGCCGGACGAGATCACGGTAGACTGCGACTCAGACCATGCGGGCTGCGTGCTGACAAGGAGGAGCACTACTGGAGTTGCACTTTATCATGGAGTTCATCTGCTCAAGGCGACCGCCAACACACAGTCTGTGATTGCCTCATCGAGTGGCGAGTCGGAGTTTTATGCGATTGTTCGAGGGACGAGCGTGGGACTTGGCGCTCAAAGCATGTGCAAGGACTACGGCATGACGAAAGGCCTAGCCATCGAGACGGATGCGACAGCCGGGCGTGGCATGGCGCTCAGGCTTGGTGCTGGGAAGGTGCGGCACTTATATACACAGTATCTATGGGTTCAAGCTATCTACCACGAGAAGCTTGCGAAGTTGAATAAGGTTCCAGGCGAGCTCAATACTGCTGACCTGATGACGAAGCACTTGAGCGGCGACAAGATCGATTTCTTCATGGACAAGTGCGGGTTTGTGATTCAAGAGGGTAGAAGTGAGCTCTCCCTGAGGGCAGCGGTTTAGTTACGACTTGGGCCGGAGGTTCGGCCGAGGAAAGACGTGAAGGCGCGAGGGCGCCTGCTTGCGTTTCAATGCCTGCTGTTCGGCGGCGGCGCGAGGGCGCCTGGCCGAGGAGGAGTGTAGCAGTGCATTCTACATAACCCTTGGTAAGGAACTGAGAGAGATTGTGAGGGGCGGATTCGCTCCGCAGTCGTGTTGGTTCAAAACCATCTAGTCAATAATGGTTCCCGAGGTGAAGAGGGGTAAGATTGACACACGCTTTGATGGAGGAGAGGGACAAGAGGGGAACAGGACAAGGAGCAGGAGCAGGAGAAGCATGATGAGCAAGAAGATGGGGGGATCGATAGGAGGGAGGAGCGGGAGGCGCAGAGGGGAGGGGAAGGAGGAGCAGGATCGTGGAGCAGGGGGACGGGGAGGCAGACGATGGCGACCACGAGGAAGAGGAGGACGAGCTGGACAATGGAGAGGAGCACGGGGAGGAGGAGGAGGAGGAGGAGGGGGCAGAACAGCAGAGGGAGCAGGGAGAGCGGCTCTTGCGACGGTAGGGTGCGAGGCCCGGGCCCGTTCCCCAGCGATTTGGGAAGGCCGGGGGCGGGCGCCTTAGGAGCCCTAGGTCTCTGCCGCCGGCGGCGCCGTGTTGCGCGGGGGAGATCTGCAACGTCGGCGCACTGTTCTTTAGCACGTGTGCGTGTGTGTGTGTACGGTAGATTCGTGTCGTGTCGACGCGGCTGCGAAACCAGCGCGAGGGTTCAAGACTGAAAGCAGCCGGTGACACAAAGTCTGCCAATGTGGGACGACCTGGTGATGCAAAAGCCGCCGATCGATGAAGATTGAATGACTTAAATACGCGGTGTCAGAAGCCAACGCCGAGGTCGTGACGACACGAATCCGCCGTACTCTGATCCGCCCGCATGTGCGGATGAGAGCAAAAGGGCGCGGAGATGGGCGGAGGCTCCTTGGCCACCGCTGCGCATTCCCGAGTACGAGTCTCACCCCATGTTTTGCCTTCGTTTCATGCCCGCATGTGTTGCCCCCCGTCCCCTGCATCGCCTTCCACGTACTGCCCCTATGTAATGCCCCCATGCGCGGCCCTATGGACAGAAATTGGCCCCAAGTGCCGCCTTCAGAAGTACTCCCTCGTGCGTACGCATGTGTATATGAGAGCGACGTGGGATGTCCGAACAGTCTTGCATTATAGTCGGGTGCAAGTAGGTAGCACTGAAAGTGACGCAAAGTGTGCCGAGCACCGGCGAAGGAAAAACATAACGTCGATTTCAGGACCTTCTTTCAAAGTCCCAACTTGTTGTTTGACGCGTCGGATACGCGTACCATAATGCGAGTTTCTATTCGGAGGGTTGAAGGATGACACGTTTTACAAGGGACGATAACTTCTGCTGGCACCAAAGGCAGACGAAGTGGAGAAGAAACAGCGACAGCACAGGCCCAAGAGGCTTCGCGGGAAGCCCACGCGGGACCTCTTATGAAGTCGAGGAGGCTTCTGAGTATGTTGGCAAGATTCCGAGGGGAGGACCAGGGGGCCCTCGGCGGCCTGCCAGGGCCTCGTGAAAATATGTCAGCCGAACTCGATGACAAGATACAACCTCGGAATATCAAGCTCGCCGACCCCCAAGACCTCGCCTAGAAGTTGAGGGAGCACGGTCGCATCTCGAACGGGTTCGTGGCAGATGGACCCCTAACAGGATCACGTCTTGCTTCGTGTGGACCGCAAGGTGATAGCAGTCCGTTTCGTGGAGCTGGCATGGCGGGGCAGTGTAGCGTGCGGCCTCCCAGCGCTTGAGCTCCGTCGGCGCGCAGTCCTTGATGCTGGCTGGCCTGGGGGTCGGCAGGCTCCGCGGCGCCCAGCGCGAACGCCGGGAGACGCTCGCCCTCGGCCTCGCCCAGCCAGCGGCTCCCCCGCGGCAGCCACCCCGACGCCGGCGGCAGCACCGTCTCCAGTGTGGCTCGGCAGGCTCGCTGAACGCTTGGAGCAGCCTGCGCGGGCATCTCGAACGCCGCTGCCCCGAAGGACGGCAGGGGGGGGCCCTGAAGAGCCAGCGCGCGCGAGGGCGGCGGACCCACCCAAAATCCGCGGCGCCCACCTTCACAGGTACCCGGCCGAACGTGCTGTGGAGCACCAGCACGTCGGCCCACGCTGGTCAGGGAGGCGCCGATGGGCCGCCCGCGCGGCTGCGCGGCCCCGTGCATGACCAGCGCGAGGGCCAAGGCGGAGCCCGAGAAGTCCGAGGCGCTGCGCCGCTCCCTCATCGAGATGTCGTTCTAATGCGAGGTCGTCGCGTAGGTCTTTGGCCACTGCGCCGCGCGGGCCGGGCTGCTGGCCGGCGGCTACGTCTGCGCTGAGCGCGCTCCGCGACAGCTCGCGCAGCGGGGTTGGCGGCCTCGGGCTCTGGACAGGCGGCGCGGCGCTGTGGAGTGGCCGCGAGGCGGGGGCGGAGGAGGGCCTCGGCCAGCAGGAGCTCGCCGGGAGAGGCGCGGCCAACGTCGGGGGCGGCTCGAGCCGCTGGGGGTAGGCGCCGACGGTGCGGAACAGCCCGTTCCCCGCGGTGCCGGAGCAGGCGGCGAGCGACGCGGCGGTTACGCACGCGGGTTGGCTCCGCAGGCAGCCCGAGCTCCTCGAGGCGCTGGAGGAGCTGCGAGGCGCGCGGCTGCTCTGCCACTGCCCTCCTAACGCCCCGTGCTACGCGGGCGTGCTGATGGTGGGGCTGGCGCCGCGCGGAGGCGGTGAATGGCGCCCTTTCAGCCAGGGGTAGCGCGTGGCGGCCGCGCTCGTCACAAATTGCCATCACAATGGCACCGACTTGAGAATTGATATTAATTCAGGGGTGCTTGGCAATATTTCCCTATGGCAGGAGGTGGACGCGGAACTGGCACTGGAGCGTTGCAACGCAAATGGTGCGGCACGAGATTGGTACGCACATCAACACCTTGGAGTGCGAGGCGTCGCTCATGGCGCTGCGGTTGCGAGCCCGGGCGACGTCTGTGAGGGGCCGCGCGTTCTTGCACCTTTTGGACAGCATGGGTCAACATGCGTGCGCTGAGCAAGCACCGCTCCAGCAGCAACCAGCTCAACAAGGTGGCGCGCGCCTACTCTGCTCTGGAGCTGGCGATTGGCGCGCGGGGCGTCTTCGGCTTCGCGCCGTCGGCCAAGAATCCTGTGGATGCGTCCTCGCGCCTGCAGGGGGACTAGGCGAGGCGCGCCTGCCGCGAGGCGCGCCGCCAGAGCTGCGCTGGGACGACTGGCTGACGCGCGGGTGGGATCCAGAACCTATGCAAGCTAAACCACACGAACGAAGCCATACCAGCCTCGCACGCGGAATCGCAGAACCTGCGCTAACAAGTCCCAGGCGAACAATTGCCGTTCAGCAAAGCAGTGCAAGACACATAGTTCTGGTATTAGCTGCGACGTATTGAATACGGAATATGTTCTTCAACAGCTAAGAGCAACTCAGAGCGGGCGCGGCCAGGACCAACACCATGAAGACATTGAAGAAGACCCAAACCACTTTGAGGCAAGAACACTGCACCGCGCCCTCGCCAACGCCGCATACAAGTGAATCTACAGCGAGGCCCATTTCGAAAACCGCGCAAACAAAAAAACAACCAGCGAGCCATAGCGCGCATGAAGAAACCAGCACAAAAACGAAGTTGCACGGTGAAACATACGACAACAAAGAACAGCTACGACAAACCAAAGTAGCTGGTCGCCACCGAGTGCGACCACTGCGTACAGTTGCGCAGCATCACATAGCATTTTCGGACAGACGTCATCCCCAACAGTGGCAAAGAATATTGGTCCAGACAGTAACGGACCTTGTGGAGATGATGACGCGAAGGCATAACGTCGCCACAAGTAGAGATGTGAAAAAAACCAAAAGACATCTCGCAACGTGTAGAGGTAAAGAAAGTCACCACGGAGAATCCCATGGGTACCGCTGCAACAGCCACTGAGGAAGAGCAGAACGAGCTGCCTGCCAAGCCGCCGACGAAGACGACGATGGGCACGCACGCCCCGCGTAGCAGACCCCGGCGTTCACCAATTAGGAACAAAATGAAATAGAATCCCAATAGCCAGCGCTCAAGTCAGAACACGTATGGTACAGCCTGGGGCCATCGCGGCGCAGGCAATTAGCTCGCTCGAACCAAAGCTAATTTGAATTGAAATTGTACCCGACACAGAAACCACGCGAAGAACTTCCAGCGAAACAAGTTTCCACTGGCGCAGTTGAAGAGTCCGAACGAAGCTGTATGAGATGGGTTTGAGTAAATTTGTACCAAGTAAGCCTTACAGTAAAAAAACATAATAAGTAAGCGTATCAGCTGAAAAGACTAGGTAAGCCGTACACCTATAATACAAACCAGGTAAACGGTGTTGGAAAAGCAATACAAAAGATGCAGTATTCAATACACAATCTAGGATAAGCTAAACTAGTCCCAAACATGGAGCCCCTGCTAAGATAAGCCGACGGGACAATTGCTGGTTTGAGAGAGCGGTGTAAAGTGAGTTCGAGGAAGCAGCAAGGCATGCATATTAAGCCAGACAAAAAGACGCCATACAACATAAACCAGGCACAGTAAACCCTTCGAACTAAGACGTACAAGATACGCATTGCAAGCTATGTCATATGAGTAAAGCCATTTGAAATAAGACATCAAATCTAAACCTAGCAAAATAGCCATACTAGATAAGCCGCACCACTGTGCCCCTACAGCTTTTGCGGCGCCATGCAAGTATCGGAGGTTGGGGGGTGAGTCCGACGTGAAACGGAAACACCCCTACCGGGAAATCGATTTCGGTTTCGGGTTCGTGTCGTGCGTGCCGTGCGCGCGTGCGGGCGAGGCGAAGCTGCGTGGGCGGGCGAGAGGAAATCCTCCAGTTGCTGGGCCGCGGCCGGACCAAATGTTTCTCCTCCGGCGGCCGGTGGCCCCAGTGTCCCGCCGGTGTCCCGTGGTGTCCCGTGGTGTCCCGTTGAGTGAGATCGACAGTGAGATCGATATTGAGATCGATGTGGTGCCCCGAGGTGTTCCGTGGTGTCCCGTGGTGTCTCGCTGAGAGAGATCGACAGTGAGATCGATAGTGAGATCGACAGGTGTCCCGAGTTGTCCCGTGGTGTCCCGTTGAGTGAGATCGATAGTGAGATCGACAGTGAGATCGATAGTGAGATCGATGTGGTGTCCCGAGGTGTCCCGTGATGTCCTATGGTGTCCCGCTGAGTGAGATCGACAGTGAGATCGATAGTGAGACCGATAGTGAGATCGAGAGGTGTCCCGCGGTGTCCCGTAGTGTCCCGTGGTGGCCCGTGGTGGCCCGTGGTGTCCCGTTAAGTGAGATCGATAGTGAGATCGATAGTGAGATCGATAGTGAGATCGACAAGTGTCCCGTAGTGTCCCGTGGTGTCCCGTTGAGTGTGATCGATAGTAAGATCGATTGAGTGAGATGTTGGTTCCCCTCCTCCCCCCCCCCACATAACCTCCTTATCACCCGAAGGGTGGTCGTATAGGTAGCCTACTCGAGCGCGCGTGATCCCCTTCCGCTGGCTGAGTTGGAGCGCGCGCCAGTCCCAACATCCATTTGTGACAGCATTGACTTTCAAGTTATGGGGCGACGGCCAGGGGCGTGCGGGGCCCGCTGATTCGTTTGAGCTGGCCAGCTCGACTTCGGCTCCTGCTCTCACTCTTCCTCTTGCCACAACTCCAGATCTGGGTCCACCTCCGTCGTCTTCTTTAAAAATCCTCCTCCTCTTATTCGATCGCTGTTCCGTACCCACACCATCGAACTTTTACGTTGCATACCTTCCCCGCAGCTGCTTGAGGAAATGGCGGCCACAGAGCCCCAGACAGTTGCGCGCAACCCCTGTACGGTCGGGGGGAGGGGCGGTGAGGGGAAGAGGGAAGAGGAGGAGTTGGCGCTGGTGTCGGGGGAGGGGGGCGGGATCGAGGCTCCGGAGACCAGAGCACTATAGCAAAACAGAACATTGCCAGATCTAGCGCGACGAGATGAAGATGGGATATCATTTCGACCCACAGCTGCAGTTTCCGTGGGTGCGCCAATCTCTTGGTTTCTGCAATGTCCCCAGGGCCTTGACGGGACGCGAGGGATAGGAAAGAGGAGAAGAGGACGACATTTGCATGCTACATGTGCGTTCTCGGGGACGAGGGAAAGGAGACGGGCGAGTCCTTGGGGGAGGGGGGAACAGTGTGAAAGACATAATGAAAGAGATAGGGATGGACAGCAGAGGATACTGGAGGGGAGCGGGGAGGCGAGGGGGGAGGTAGGGATGAGGGAGGGAGCGACGGAAGGAAGGAGACGGAGTGAGGGGGAGGGGCCGGGGGAAGCAGGGGATCTTCTCAACCAATTTCATTATTGTGCTAGACTGCGATCTGAGGGGGCAGCAGATCGCATGCTCGGTGTGACCTCTGCTGTATGGCAGCGGACTCCGCTGAACGTGCCGTCTCCACACCCACTTCGGCGGCGCGCCGGGAGGCGGGCAGGGCGGCCTGTTAGGCCGGCAAGGCGGGGGGACTCTAGAAGGACAGGTTATGTTTCGCCCAGCGCGGGGTTCGCCTGGTCGGTTTCGCCCCCGGCATCGGTTCCGCCCAGGACAGTTTCGCTTTGGCGACGGTTTCGCCTGGTGTCGGTTTCGCTTGGCCGATTTCGCCCGGTTTGTTTCGCCTGGCATCGGTTTCACTCGGGACGCTTTCGCCCGGGACGGTTTCGTTTGGAGTCGGTTTCGCTTGGCGTTGGTTTCACCCAGTTGGTGTCGCCCGATAGTTTTCGCTTGGTGGTTTTCGCCAGGTCGGTTTTCGCCTGGTCGGTTTCGCCCGGTGGTTGTCGCCCCGTGCTCTTCGTTCGATGTTTTTTGCTCGGTTCTCTTCGCTTACTGCTTTTCGCTCAGTGATTTTCGCCCAGCGATTTTCGCCCGGTCGGTATCGTCTGGTTGGTTTCGCCCAGTCGGTTTCGCCCAGTCGACTGTTTCGCCCGGTGCGGGCTTCGTTTGGTGAGCCTGCTTCGTTCCGCCCAGCTGGTTTCGCGCCGCATCGGTTTCGCCCGGGACGGTTTTGCCTTGGACGGTTTAGCCCGGTGGCTTTCGCCCGGACGGCTTGGCCCGGTCGGTTTCGCCCCTTGGTTTCCCTTGGCTTGTTTCGCCCTGCCTTTCGTGTTCGCCCAGTCAGGTTTCGCCGGGTTCGAGTTTCGCCCGGTCGGCTTCGCCCAGTTCGGGTTTCGCCCGGCTTCGATTTTTCCCAAGACAGTTTCACCCGGGACGGTTTCGCTTGGCGTCGGTCTCGCCCAGTCGGTGTGGGTTTCGCCTGGTGGTTTTCGCACGGTGTTTTTTTGCGCAGCGGTTTTCGCCCGGTCGGTTTCGCTTGGTTGGTTCCACCCAGTCGATTTCGCCAAGTCAGGTTTCGCCTTGGTTTCGCTTGGTCGGTTTCGCCTGCATGGTTTCGCCTGGGACAGTTTCGCCAAGACGGATTCGCCCAGGATGGTTTCGCCCAGTGTCGGTTCTGCCCTGTCGGTTTCTCCCAGTGACTTTTGCCCGGTGGATTTCACCCAGTCGGTGTCGCCCAGTTTTTTGTTCGCCCAGTGCTCTTCGCTCAGTGTTCTTCGCTCGGTGCT